GTCAGTGAAGTGGAACAAATTGTGTTCGGTAAAATGATTGTGAATGTTCATTCAGTGAATCTGGGCTCGAGGTAAACAGTGTGGTGTCTATAAGTCATGAGGTGGTGATATTTATGGCGGGAAGGACACTGACGGTGTATTTGTGGATTGAAGCTATCTGGGGGCTTCTAAGAAAGGGTAGTCCTTGAAAGAGAAGACTCTAACTGACAGAGCACAATGAGAAGGAACCTTCAAGCAGGGTAGGAGTAAAAGGGAAATATGTAGGCAACAGTTGAGGCTGGTTGCCTGCCTCTTCTGGGAACTGTTTCAGTGTGGCTTCCACCTATTTAATGGAATAGTAGCCTGGTCCTCAGCCTTCCCCTCCAAGACTGTGGGGTGAGCATGCGCGCGTGTGTGTGTGTGTGTGTGTGTGTGTGTGTGTGTGTGTGTGTGTGTGTGTGTGTGTGTGTTTCCTCCCATGTAGCCTTAGCTGGCCTTGAACTAGGCTGGTCTTGCACTCAAAGATCCATCTATGCTTCAGCATCTCCACCTGTGCTGGGCATCTCAGGATCTGCCCCAGTGTTGGCTGTCCATGACATTGACCCTAACAAAGCTGTCTGTGCTGCCCTGGCCTGCAGATGAGCTGCAGTACTTACTGCTGCACTTACCAAGAAATAGAGGGCTGCTGAGATTGGACACCAGGAACTGTCAAAGGGATTTGGAGAAGTAGTCCACACTGCAAGGACTGGAGCCAGTTCTGTGTGCTGTAAATTCATGCTATGGTGGCGCAGTCCTTTAACCCCAGCACACAGAGCCAGAGACAGATCTCTTGAGATTGAGACTAGCTTGGTCTACACATGAAGTTCCAGGCTAGCCAGGGATGTAAAATGAGACCCTGTCTCCAAAAAAATAAATAAAATATATTGCTGACAGTGAAGGAGCAGCACAACCCTTTGAAAAGGTGCATCTGGGGACATCCTGCCCTGGGCCTCACCCTTTGGATAGCATGAGAGAAGGGCTTTGATTGGTGGGGAGTGAGGTCAGAGCTCAGCCTAAGGACAGTCAGTGCTCTAAGGGAAAGGGACCTCCCTCCCAGGAGTGTGTGCTGTACTTGTGAGAGAGAACCACAGAGAGACTCAAGGCTGGAAATGCCCCAGCCTACTGGGAAGGGCTTGAAAGGGGGTTGGGGTGGGAGTGAGAACTTGGACTTTGTCCACTTGACAGCAGGAAGCCATGAGCAGGTATTGAGTGGTGGAGGGCCGTGGTCAGTGCTCTCTGACCAAAATCATGGGGAAGTACATACTTCCTTCTGTCCCATGGAGGTTCAAGGACTACCCCATGTCCTCCCTCCCTCCAAAAAAGGTCAGGAATTGGGCTGGGCTGGCCTGGCTGTGGTGACCCTGGTCTTCTCCTGTCTCCAGAGAGATCTTGGTAGAAGAGAGCAACGTGCAGAGGGTGGACTCGCCAGTCACAGTGAGTACTGTCTGTCCCTTGGAACCTGACTTGGTCTTTTTTTTTTTTTTCCCCGAGACAGGGTTTCTCTGTGTAGCTTTGCGTCTTTCCTGGAACTCACTCTGTAGCCCAGGTTGGCCTTGAACTCACAGAGATCCACCTGCCTCTGCCTCCAGAGTGCTGGGATTAAAGGTGTGCGCCACCACCGCCCAGCTCTGACTTGGTCTTTTAAGACACATGGAAACCCTGTGGTTTGATACTAAATTTATGAGAGGCTAGAGCACCTCAGGTCTTTGCTTCTCAATCTTCAGGTAGCCCTGATAGAAAAATTAGATGATGGGCAGAGCTTGCAGCTTTAGTGATGGAATGTTCTCCCAGTTTGTATGAGGCCCTGAGTTCTAGCCTCCGCACCACAAAAACATAACGGATGCTGTAGGAATTTTGATTTGTCGTGGGGCTGTTCATAACCAAGGCAGAAGTTTGTGGATCAATGGCCCTGTGTTAGTAACTGTGCTGGGCACACGGGGGCAAACAGAGATGAAGCTAGTCTTCCTGAAGCTGCAAGTCTACCTGGAAAGACACATCCCCTGCACCAGAGCAGCTGGCTTTCACTGTGGGGGCATAGATGATACCAGAACAGGCTCACTTGGGACTAGAGGGTGGAATTTGGATCCTGAGATGGAGTGATACAGCCCTGGCTAGCCTGGGAAATGACAGGTGTTTTGAAGGATGGTCTCTGGGAACAAAGGGACTGTGCCTTTGTCCACTCTGTGGACCCACATTCTTCCTTTCCAGGTATGTGGTGACATCCATGGACAATTCTATGACCTCAAGGAGCTTTTCAGAGTGAGTGGAGGGACACTGGGGCTGTGAACTAGGGGTGACTGGGAGACATGGTCATTGAGAGGTTTTAGGCTGCATGTGGTCTGGGTGAGAGAAGGGCTCAGCTCGTCTCTGGCTGCCGCAGCTGGAGAGGGTAGTTTGGGGCCAAGCAGAGCCATATCCCTCCTCCCAGGTAGGTGGCGATGTCCCTGAGACCAACTACCTCTTCATGGGAGACTTTGTGGACCGTGGTTTCTACAGTGTTGAAACCTTCCTCCTCCTGCTGGCTCTTAAGGTGAGGACCCTTGGCCTCTGGAGCCCGAGCCTTGGCCGCTACTTGCTGTCCTCATCACCTTTCCTGTCACCTACCTTGGAACGTGGCTGTGGCTGTGGACTGTGTGCTTAGCAGGGCTGGTCATGACCATGAGTGGGGCCGTCTCCTGAGCCCTTGAGGAAGAGGCTGGTGATGTGAGTTCTGGGAAGCAGACAGGCTATGTGTTCAGGGAGCAGCAGGAGTTGAGTGAACTGGGAGAGTTCATTGGTGCGGGGCCACAGTGGGGTGAGGGTGGGGCGCTGAGGACGGGAGCCTGAGTCTGGCAGGTGAGAGGAGTCATTAGTCTTGTCGTGCTTCTCTGGAAAAGGCCCCCAGAAGCCTGTGAGGCAGGGACCCTGTGAGTTATGTAAGAGACTGCAGGAGTCTCGGCTAGCAGATTATGGTGAGGACTGAGTGAGGCTGGTGGATATGTCCCCAAAACTTGGGAGGGGTTAAGTGGGAGAGAGAGACTAGAACCAGTCCTGGCTTGGTGCTACCCCTAGGTTCGATATCCAGACCGCATCACTTTGATCCGGGGCAATCATGAGAGCCGCCAGATCACCCAGGTCTATGGCTTCTATGATGAGTGCTTGCGCAAATATGGCTCAGTGACTGTATGGCGCTACTGCACTGAGATCTTTGACTACCTCAGCCTGTCTGCCATCATCGATGGCAAGGTAGGTTGGCCCTGGATCTCCCTGGGGGTGTGGCAGGTGTGGGTCTTTGGGCTTCTACCTCACTTATCTCTGGTATTACTTTCCCTTCTAGATCTTCTGTGTGCATGGGGGCCTCTCCCCTTCCATCCAGACCCTGGACCAGATCCGGACAATTGACCGAAAGCAGGAGGTACCTCATGATGGACCCATGTGTGACCTCTTGTGGTCTGACCCTGAAGGTGAGGGCAATACCTGGGCTGGCTGTACCTTTAGCTTGTGGAGACTGGGTTAAATGAGTATATGAAGGGAGGAGAGTCAGGCCAGGGAAGAGGAGGGCAGGTTTGGTCTTCACCGGCTTCTGCCTTCCACCTGCCTGAATGGACTTCCATAAGGAGCAGAAGGCATGAACCCCCATTCATGTGCTGAGTACATGTGTACTGAGGCCTACAGTGGGTTGGCCCATGAGTTGTATGGCTCAGAGGCTCTGCTTAGGATGAAATCATTGGCTCCCTGGGTGGGAAGAGGCCATAGACCTTGACAGTAGCTGCTTTGGAGTTGAGACCAGTTCCCCCATAGAACAATGACCTCTGAGGGTTCCTTATTTTGTATGGTTCCCCTCTACTTGGGGACAGAACTGAGATTTAAAACCTGGCTTTCTGAGTACCAGTCCTAAGCATACGCTCTAATCCTATCCCTGTTATTACAGTCTGCTCCATGTGGCATAAGGTGACGTCACTGCCAGGAAAGTCCTCGTTCACAGCTGGTGCTCTGGGTGTGAGCACCTCTTAAGTGCTGCTTGGACTGTACATTGTATGGTTACTGTGAGAAGGTCCCAGCCATGAAGCAGTCTCTCTCCTTGGAGCTTCTCTGCTCCAGCATTTGCTATCCTAGAACAAGCCTCTGGTTAATGAGGGAAAAGGCATGGTATAGTAGGCAACCAGAGGAGCCCACGCATCGTTCTTGTCTTGTCTCAGACACAACAGGCTGGGGAGTGAGCCCCCGTGGGGCAGGCTACCTGTTTGGCAGTGATGTGGTGGCCCAGTTCAATGCAGCCAATGACATTGACATGATCTGCCGTGCCCACCAATTGGTGATGGAAGGTTACAAGTGGCACTTCAATGAGACCGTGCTTACTGTGTGGTCAGCACCTAATTACTGCTACCGGTAAGTTGGCAGGGGCAGGGCCTGGAGCCAGGGCCAGGGTAGAGACCTAGGCCTCCAGTGGCTAACTGTGTGTGCTCTTCCTCAATCCAGCTGTGGGAATGTGGCAGCCATCTTGGAACTGGATGAGCATCTCCAGAAAGATTTCATCATCTTTGAGGCTGCACCCCAAGAAACACGTGGCATCCCCTCCAAGAAGCCAGTGGCCGACTATTTCCTGTGACTCCTTGGCCCCAGCCCCTCCGGCCCTTGGACCACTGTGACTGCCTCTTCCCAGTCGGAGGCTGGGTGTGGAGGGCTGCCTGGCTTTGCTTGCCCCAGGGTGCGGACTGCTCTGGAGAGGTTGGGGCCTCTGCTCCAGGCTTCCTCTCCTTTCTCCCACTTGATCCATGAAGTTTCCAGTCATTTTTTCTTTTTCTTTTTTCCTTTTTTTTTTTTTTGGTTTTGTTTTTAGATAAAACATTTTGAGAAAAAAAAGAAAAAAATTCTAATAAAAGAAGAAAAATAGTCTTGGGGTTTCTGTCAGGTTTAACTGAGGTAGACATGGAGACCTGTCCTGCTTGCCCACTGGCCCGGCGCCTTCAGGCTCCATCTGCTGATCTTTCGCAAAGGCTTGCTTAGTGCTGGGCAGAAACCAGGTTCCAGGACAGCCTTAATTCTTAAAAGAAGCATTGTGAAGAAACTTACCCATCTTCCTGAAGGGGGACATGCCTGGAGCAGGCTGATTCACGTCCACAAGGACAAGCATCTGGAAACTGCTTGGGTCTCCCCTTAAAGCTGTGGCTACCCCAGCCCCACCCAGGGCCAACACCATTAGCCCAACGTTTCCTGAGCACTAATGTCTTTTGAGTTTTATTAACAAAAATACTCTGATCTGAGAACAAATTGGTGTGGCTTACACCAGTAATGAGGCCCCCGGGAGGTGGGGGTACTGGGCTGGGGCTCCGTTTGGCCAGGCAGAGTCCCTCCATTCACACTAAGGTGAGAGCTGAGAAGGGGAAGCTGGCCCCAGCTGGACTCTGAGCAGCCTTGCCTGAGCTTTGAAGCCTGAGGAGGGGGAGTGAAATCAAGGTGTGAACTAAAGGGTAGAGGAGAGGCCCAAGGCAGCCATTTGGTGGGGGGGAGGGGCACCTGAATGAGGGTGCTGCCAGGCTGGGGGAAGGGAGCCGGACGTTTGAAAGGGAAGATGGCATAGGCCCTGCCTTGGCTTGCTACATCATGGCTCAGTACATTGGCTTGGATCCCATGTCCAGATATCCTCCAGGTCCTGGGTATGGTAGAGGGAAGGGGCCCCCTTGAATGAAGTGTGGGGCAAAGGGTGTTACAGATGGAGCTGCCTGATAGGCAGAGCCCCCTGGTCCAGGTTGTAGCTCCAGGAACGCAGCTGAGTAGGGGGTTGGGCGCCCAGGGTCTGGAGCCTCAGGGAAGCTGGGGTTCCTGAAGTCAGGAGAAAAAGGTATCAGGAGAGGAGAGGCACATACCCTCCTGGAGCACCCAGCCCTCCGTGCACCTCACCTGGCTGGTAGGTGACTGGGGGCCCCATGGAAAGCTGCAGGGTGCAGGAGGTAGGCCTCAGCGCTGGGACCACCACATGGCGGAGCTGGGACAGAAGCAGCTTCCCGGGGGGCTGGAGCCTGCTCTGGATCTGAGTCCCGAATATCCCCACCCAGGGTGGAGTCACAGGGGCCCCCGGGTGTATCTGAGGAGACAAGGCACAGGTTGGCTAGGGAAGGCTTGATGTCTCAAGTTTGGCCCCGTTACCGTCAAGAGAGCACTCACCCCCACTCCCACAGGCCTCTGTAGCCACTGGCTCTGGGCCCCGAAGTTTCCTCTTCACACGGGCATCTCGCTCCCTGGGGAATGATGATGATGGTGATGATGGTGATGGTGATGATGATGGCACTAATAGTACTTACCAGGTGCCAGGTATTTCACCCTATCAGGCACCCTGTTGGGCAGGTGCTATATTATACCCATTTTACAGATAAGGAACTGAAGGTCAGAAAATTAAGCCACTAAAAAGCAGCAGAGCTGAAGTTTCTCTCTGACTTGGACTTGGTTGGTTCTTCAGTGCTTTCCTCCTTGGGAATCAAAATCCAAGCAAACACCTTCCCAGCTGCAAAGGCCAGGCCCTCTGCCGCATCGCAGCCTTTCTGGAGTCTCCGTACCTGACTGCTTCTTGCAGGAACGCCTCCCTGATCTTCCATAGCCACACACACCTCCCTCCAGACATGTCACTGTCTACATTTGGGATAGACTAGAAGCTCTCCCAGGGCCTAGGTCAGCTCTCCCGGCTGTATTCAGAGCCCACGCCAAGTCGTTGATTGGTAAGCAGTATCTGACTTCCGATCACTTCCCTGACTTGCTTTTCCCTCTTCTGCCTCCTTGTAGTACACTTCTGCCTCAGGGCCTTTGCATGTGTGCTTTGCCAGACACCCACATGGCTCCTTCCCCGACTGAAGGTCTTTCCTCAAATGTCCTCAGGGGTGCCTTTTATCTGCCACTTCCCTCCCGTCCTTCCTGTCCTTTCCATGCTTTATTGCTCATTATAATTTATAGGTTTCTCTTGTTTTTGTCTACACTGCCCACTGGATATCAATTGTATGAGGACTGAGCAATCTTAAGTATTTAAGAGTGGATAAAGTGTTTTTACTCACCATCATGTTCCCGGTGCCCTGGCACAGGGCCCGGCACACAGTAAGCAATTAGTAGACACCCACTGAATGAATGATGCCCACCTCTTACAGTTTCTGCCATTCTCTCGGAAACCTTTGGCAAAGGGATTGGCGGCAATCTTCAGCTGTGTGATCTGAGAACACACATCCAGGTCAAGGCCCCTGCAGCCTGGGCAGGGGGCAGCCCCCCCCTCAAGCAAGGCCACTCACCCTAGGGTTCTGGTAGGCTGTCACAGAGATGAATGTGGTCTCAGGAAATCGGAAGGAGGCCACACCTCCCCAGTGTTGGCTGCAAAGCTGGGTGGCCCTCACCAGATGGATTCGGGGCTGGTACTTGTGCATGGAGTGCAAGATCAGCTGGGAGGGAAGAAATGGAGTGATTCCCTGACCTGGGCCCCAGCCTTAGCCTTCCACCCAGTATCACCCTAAAACTCCATCAAGGAGTCCCAGCCTGGGCCTCACGTGGCCATGGGGGTCCAGCGTGCTGTTGGTGAGCTTAACGCGATGGAAGGATACTGGCTGCCGCATCCAGTGGGCACCCGTGGCAGGAGAGTCAGGGTGAATGTAGACACGGTCAGGTAGGCGGGGCTCAGCCTTGCCACTAGGCTCCCAGTGCTGGCCCTGCCATCGGTATCGGGCCCCATCCACTGGAACCACATCCAGAAGGAACAAGTAGCGGGCCTCCGGATCCAGGCCAGTGACTGACACTCGGCAAGCAGGGAACATGCGCCTGCACAGGGAGGGAGGAGGAAGGGAGAGGCCTGGAGCCACCCACCATCAGACTTGAGCCCAGTACTAGCAAAGGGACTAGAACAGGCACCACAGTAACAGCAAGAGAGGTGTAATTAGATTCTCGAGTGCAAAATCTCAGCGCTGGAAGGCTTACTCCATTTTACAGATGGGGAAATGGGACAGACAGGCTAGGGGCTCTGGCAGGCCCCAGCAGGTCAGTCTCCCCACTTACCCCTTCACTCTCCACTCTAGTAACAAGATGGCACAATCCTGTCTCAGAGTCCCTACCACTTCCTGCCCAGGCTTCTGACCCCTGTCCCTTCAAACTCTGCAGAAACCATGGTGACCACCTTCTTCCTGAGGAGCCTCTCGCTCCCACCTAGCGGCAGCACAGACTAATCTTCAGAGATAATAGGTGCTGGGCCTGGGGACAGGATTTATCTAGGGCTCAGGCCTTAGAGACCTTGCCAGAGCTCACACACTGATCACTTACCTTCCTCTAGGGTGACCTAGGACTTAGGTCCACATACTGACCCTGACCCTGGGCTGATTTTCCTGAACCTGGTCCCTGGCTGGTCCTTACTCTTTCTCATGCTGTCTCTGAGTTAGGCCACACGCCAACCTATAACCCATCCAGACTTCCTTGCCCCAAGCCTGGGCTGACCTCTCTGACCCTTAATAGAATGGCTCCTAAACCCAGCCACAGACTCTCCAGACTCATCCTTGAACCTCGCTACAATGTAACTCCCGTCCGTCCCAGAGTCACAGATAGTGTCAGGCCACATTCAGATTTTGCTCTCTGGGTTGTACTAGCCCTGGAGAAACGCTTAAACCTAGCTCTGTCCCCAGGAATTCTATCTTTTCTAGAAACTAACTTGGCCATCCCTCACCTGCCAGCCTTGGTGATGATCATCTCTGTCCCCACAGCGCTGAACTCCTTCCACAGTTCCTGGTTCTCCAGGCTCAGGCTGACCCCAGGAAGCGAGTGAAGGGCCTCTGGAGGTGGTGGTGCTGTCTCAGGGCCCAGAGATGGCAGAAGGGGCAAAGGAGGGGGTGCAGACAGAGTGTGGGGAGCTGCCTCAATCCCAGAGAGGAAGCAATCCAGTTTAGAGGTATCCAAATCTGGAGATGTGGGAAGAATGAGGATCCAGGGGAGGGCCACGTATTCCCAGTCTCCTGCCCCCTACCCAGAGCCGATCCAACCGCTCACCAGGGTAGCGGTAGCCCTCTGCCAGGGCAGGTGGGAAGCTAGAGTCTGCCCCAGGCTGGGGGTGTCCCAGACGGTAGCCAGTCCCCAGGGAGGGGTACAACTCTCGTGGATGGTACATGTTGGTAGTTTCTTCTGGCCTTGTGTCCCGTTGCTAGAGTCCAGGGTCTAAGAGATGCCCCCTTTATAGCTCACAGCACAGCCCCTTCCAAACCAGAGATCACAGCCCCTCCCCTCCCTGGGGCCCTGGAGGTGGGCAGGAATGGAGACCCCTGGGGCCTCGAAGGGGTCCAAGAGGAGGCCGGATACCTGGGTACCCTCCCCTCTCCCTCACGGCTTCACTAGTCCCGACCCCCTGCCCCCTCATTACATAATTAACTCCTCGGCCTGATTGATCCCTAGGGCTAGGATAGGGACGCAGTTTGGCGCTTCCGGCCAGCTGGTCTTCGTTCCCACGGAGGGGGTTGCCCGGCTGGGGGGCAGGGGTGGGATCTGGATTCTGGTACCAAGTCTAGGATCCCTGGTTAGACCCTAAAGCCCCAGACTTTCTGGAAGGTGACCCCTCCGTTTTCTTCACTTGGAGGACTAGCCTTGCGAAGTGAACTGGAGGACAAGTACAGAGTTGGTGCCTGAGCTGATATGCCAGACACTGGCCATCTTCAAGAGACCGCAGCAGAGAGCTAAAGCTTAGAGTCCTCCTTGGTTTATAGTCTGAAAAACCTCCAAGTCTCAAAAGTCGAGGGGCTTGCACAGCCTCCAGTCTCGTGCTAGGAGATCGGTCTCGCGCCGAGAAACACTTCAACTACATTTCCCAGTAAGCACTGCGCCAGATGCGCGCAAAGGCCACAGACAGGCAGTGCTGGGGTTGTTGGGAATTGTAGTCCAGAGAGGGGTAGCAAAGCCAGAAAAGTGGTGGCCTTCCTTGAAGCTGCCTCATACGCACTGAAGTCAAGACTTAACGTTGGCAAGAGGTCAGAGGCTAGACCAGCTTGGCCTACTGTTCCTACCCCATCCCCCCTGCTGAGGCTCAGAATGGAACCTATCTATAGGAAAGGGGCCTGGATTCCAGGTCCCCTTCCTGTATTCCATGTGAGTCAAGGGCTGTCTCCATTCCATTGTTTTATTATTTACAAACGCTACAGAACGAGAACAGACACACTGCGGGTAAGAGGGATCCAGTGGGAGAAGTTCACAGAAAGATAGTGCACCGGGGCCATGACAGCAGCACACAGGCCATATCTACGGGGCAGGCAGGACAGGAAGGGGTTAAAAAATGAGATCCAAGCCAGCCAGATCGCAGGGAGGTACTGGGGGGTGCAGTCCCCCTCCTGGTCTCCCCCCCAAGGTCACAGTGCATGCAATAAAATATATGTACAGGAGCTGGATCCTGCCCCTGTGGGGGCCCTGAGGGTCCAGAGCTCCCTTCAGGAGGCGCGAAACCAGTGGCTCCCCCTGGCGGCCAGGCCAGGATGAAGCCACATGCGTCAGGCGCCAGGTCAGTCCCAGCCGTTGTCTTTGATCATGTGGTTGAGTTCAATGATGTACTTCCCCTCTTTGTACTTCTGGCTGCTTTCAAAGGCTTGCTCCTGAAAGGAGAGAAAGAGCTGCCATCCACGGACAGGACTTTCACCACCAGGCAGTGGGGTTGGGAAACGGATATGATGGGTCTTGTTTTGTATATGAAAACACTGTGGTCCAGAGAAGCCCAGCTACCTGCCCCCCCCCCCCACACCCCTCCCCAGAGCTGGCAGGGCTGCTTCTCCCCTGGAACAGAACTTTGAATCAGGGGTGCCTTCTGAACATTAAAGACCGCTCCACCAGGGAAGTACCCAGAAGACGTCCTAGTCCAGGGCTGCACACTGGGGGCCTAAGGGTCATCTCGGCCTATAGGTCGTTTTGTTTAGGTAGCAGAGAGTTTAGTAGAAATAACTTTAGGGGTTGGGGATGCTTAGCATGTGGGAGGGCCTGGATTTGATACAAGCACCACATTAAAAAAACAAAACAAAGAACCCCACTAAACTATAAACATACACGCTCACTCCATTTTGCCCCAGCCTGCTTTCCCTGCCCTAAATCGATGCTACCCATTCACAAATCCACAGTAACTGCCTGGCTTTCTAGACATTTGAGAGGTTTTTGTTGTTTTTTGGGACAGGGTCTATGTAGTCCTAGCTGTCTTGGAACTCACTATGTTATACTAGGCTGGCTTAGAACTCAGAGATCACCTGCCTCTGCCTCCTGAGTGCTGGGACTAAAGGCATGTAACACCACACCCTGCTGACATTTGAGTTCGTTTTTTTGTTTTTCAAGACAGGGTTTCTCTGTATAGCCCTGGAACCTGCTCTGTAGACCTGGTTGGCTTTGAACTTATAGAGATCCGCCTGCCTTTGTCTCCTGAGTGCTGGGATTAGAGGCATGTGCTACCACCGCCTGGCTGACATGAGGTTTTGTTTTGTTTTTTTTGTTTGTTTTTCAAGACAGGGTTTCTCTGTATAGCTTTACGCCTTTCCTGGAACTCACTCTTTAGACCATGCTGGCCTCAAATTCACAGAGATCCACCTGCCTCTGCCTCCCGAGTGGGATTAAAGGCGTGCACCACCACCGCCCAGCTGACATGAGTTTTTAACCTCTGGTCTAGGTCACATATTTAGGAATTTCAGAGGGGCCAAGCCACCTGTCAGGGACACACAGAAAATCTGTGGCAGGGCCAGAGGTAAAGTCAAGTTGGGACTGTCCCTGCCTGGGGCATCTAGCTCACAAGAGCCACTCCAAGTGATGCCTTGCCTAACTCCTTGTACATTCCCCAAAGCACCCCCTTTGCTACATCTAATCGGATCCTTGTGACGCTTTTCCACGCCAGGTAGTGGCTTTATGCTCCAATGCCAGATAAGGAAATGAGACTTGAGGTTGTGAAATTAGATGCTAGACAGCACCAGAAGCAATGTGAGCTGTGCAAAGGAGATCTGTGGACCTAATTTCCATTTAGTTGTGTGATCCTGGGCAAATGTCCTAACATCTTCAGACTTGCCCTGTCTTCTGGAGTAAGATTCTGCCATCAGAACAGTTGTAATGATTGAATGAGAGACTATACACCAAGTGTGTTCATGTGCATGGCATATAAGCATGCACTAAATGCTGGCTCTGCTTGCTCTTTATCTCTAGGATGGGGGCACTAGTGCCTCTGAGGGAAAGGGAACGGCCTCAAAGCTCTGTAGAATGCAAGGGACCAACACCAGTCACTGGGGAGAAATAGTCTGTTTCGTCTGTGCTGAGCCAGCCCTACTCTGAAAGGTGTATGCTTTCGAGGAAGAAGGGATGTGAGGTTAGGTCAAAGGCCAGCCCGGGGTCAGAGATCACGAACTCACATATTTCCAGCCCAAAGTGGTCTTGCAGTTCTCGCAGTGGATGTCAGCAACAGCATGGAGACCTGTCAGCAGCACCCGCTCCTCTGCTGGCCCGCAGCCCACATTCACCCTGTGGGGATAAAGGGTAGTCCCAGGGAGGGTCTCAGCAGCCCAGAGCCCCCCTCTAGCTAGTATGTTCAGTGTCTGTTCTTAGCCTCTAAGAGAGGCCTGATCGTGGCTTCCTGTCTGAAACAAGGGACTCTGGGAACATCGGCACGATGCCAGGGGTCACAGGTCACACCAGAGGTCAGGAAAAGAAAGGAAGGAGGTGAATACTCACACAGAGTTGAAGAGGTAGGCACGGCCCTGACTGCCTTGGAAGGACTGGAGGGTAGTGGGAAGACGAGAGGAGGGGTTAGGGCTATTGGTGGGGAGTGGCCAGGCAGCCCCTTGCCATTCTAGACTCAGATGTGGCCTGCTTACCTTGGAGATGAGGTCGTCGTGGTTGGCCAGGTGAGCACGGCAGTGGGCACAGCTATACCTCCGGTGACAGTTATCCAAGTAGGCCTGAAACGTCTTGGGCTTGGAAATCCGCACCATGGCGGGGGCCAAGGGCAGTGGCCCCACGCGGGGAGCGGCCCACGGGGAGCAGAGGGAGCCCAGTGCCTGCCAGGGAGGAGAGGTGGACTGTCAGGACCAAGGCCACACATATGCAGGCAAGCCCAGAACGATGGGGACTCTGTCACACTTGGCTGCTCTCTCCTTTCCCTGGAGCCAGCAGTGTCACCAGGGACCAGAGTCATCTCAGTTTTGACTCACTGAGGAGGCCTCAGGTTGCATCAGCGGGTAAACTGAGGCTAGGAGGAGCTCCAGGTGAGTCACCCACCTGCTTCTGGCCTCACCCCTGCTGAGCTGGCATCTGAAACGGGAAGAAGGGGCTTCAGAGTGGATGGGCTGCCAGTTTTCAGTTTCGAGGGAGTATGGGGGGGTGGGTAAGGAACTGACTGGTCCTTGGGACCCTATTTGGACTAGGGGCAGGGGCAAATGTGGGGTACATGGAGTTCTCTTGGGGAAAGGGTCTCTCACCTGGAGACAGAAGGCCTCCCCAAAGGAGGAGGGTCCCCTAGGAAAAGGAGGGGCTTTTACCTGGAGGCGCTGAGCCTCGTCTCCGCCGAGGGGATCTTACCTGCATCGCCAAGCCTTACCTGAGACCCCAGGGCTCACCTGGGGCGAGGGGATGGGGGCGCGCGCGCGCGGGGGGAAGGGGCAGTCCTCGCTTGCGGGGCGGGGGCGACGTGCAGCGACGTCGGTGCAGGCCTCACCTCGCCTGGGCGCGCGGAGGGCCCGGTCCGCGGGGTAGCCTGGCCTGGGAGTGGGGGGCGCTCCTGATGGGCGCCGTCCCCCCCGGCCCGGTTCGCAGCCGCCTCGACTTGTTTACACCGAGACCAGCTGCTGCCGCGGCTGCGGCGGGAGGGGGAGGGGGCCGGCCTCCTGTCCCGGCGGCCGCCGTGGCCAATCGGAGTGCCGCATGCAAATGAGGGGGCGCGTCATACGGCGGCCAGCGCAGGCAGGGCTGCCCCTCCCCCTGCTCCCGGCTTCGGCTTCGCCTGCTCGCCCGGAAATGCGGCTGCGACCCGCAGCCTAGCCCGGAGGCCAGTCGGTTCCCCGGGCCTGATTTCGCTTTTCACTACCCCCCCCCCCCTTCCCCGTGCTCGAAGAGACAAGGATTCTAACCCGACGTGGAGTTCGTAGGAGGCGGTGTCTATACGCACACTCCCGAGAAATGGTCGTAATTGTCTTCGTTTATGCACTGGCCAGGATGGTAACCCCTGCCACAACCCCGTAGTTTCTCCGTTTGACCAGGTTCTGAGGTTTGGAGAAGAGATTCTCTCCAGAGATTATCCAGATGGTAAGAGTCAAAGTTGAAATTCTCACTTTTCCCCAAGCACGTGGAACAGACTCTTAGAAGGGAAGAGCTAACGGTCGCCCTTTTGCTAGTAGACTCCCAGGAACCAAAGCTTTAGGAGGAGTCAATCTCCACTGCTGGGCTTCATCTGCTCCGGGCATCCTCTGGTATGCCTGGCCTCCAGGTTACTGTAGGTCTGACCCCAGTGGAAATGCCTCTTTAAACATGTGTCTGCATACACGGACTTGTGTTCACTGCAGAGTCCCAGTACCCAGCAGGCCTGCAAAGTACTGCATTGGGACTATCTGTTAAATGAGTTAGGTCCCAGTGTTGGAGATCAGAAAGTGGACAGTCGGTACAGTGAGGGAGCCTGTGAGCTCACCCATGCCTGCCTGCTGCAGCTCAGTGTGTAAAGCCACCAGCAGCAGCGTGAGGGACATCAAGTCCTTTGTGGTATGCCTGGGTCTCTTAATGGCTTCAGGAAAACCACTCATCTATGGAACTCTAGAGTGGGACCAGGACGCCTGGGTTAGTACTACAGAGTGGAGGCCGCACTGGCACAGGGTGTGGTGCCACCGCTGGGTCTGGAATGTAGTGGAACAAGTGGGCCAGCCTAATTAGGCCCCCAGAATTTGGGGGGGGGCGGTGGTCTCACTTTGTAGCCTTGGCATCTAACTCAGAGATCCACCTGCCTCTCTGCCTCTCAAGGGCTAAAGTTAAAGATGTTCATCACCAGACCCAGCTCATTCCAGGTTTTCTTGCTCTCCCCTAAGATGTGTGCCCTCTCACGCAGTGTGTATTAAACCCAGAGCCACGTTCGTGGTGTGCAAGCACTACACCACTGAGTTCCATTTCCATCTTCAGAGTCTTCATTGACCCTCCAACTCCCCGATCCATGAACTATGTGCTGACAAGAAAATATTTATTTTTCTTAAAAAGAGAGGACAGGGCCTCAGACTGAGGAGGCAGGGGCCCTTGATTCCTTCTTGTCTAGGTAGTGTCTCAGGGCCGTGGGGAAATCCGTCATGACACCACTAGCCCCCAGGTTGAAGGCCACTTCAAAATCCGATTCTTCATTAAGGCACCAAAATAGCACCTGAGCAGGAAAGAAGGCCCAGTTTACTTTCCAAATCTACCCAAAGCTTCCTTCAACTTCCAGGAGGTGGCACCCTGTTCTTCTGCACAGACCTCTCTGTAAATGGAAGTTTCTGTCCCACCAGCAACTCCCAAATACCTGGCAGCCGCTTCCCAAATAATTGACTTGGAAGCTTAATATTACTTATAAATGCTTGGCCGGTAGCTCAGGCTTTTTACTAACTAGCTCTTACACTTAAATTAATCCATAATTCTTACCTATGTTTAGCCATGTTGCTTGGTACTTCTCCTCAGTATGGCAATCTCATCTTGCCTCCTCTGCATCTGGCTGGTGACTCCTGACTCTGCCCTTCTTCTTCCCATCATTCTTAGTTTGGTCACCCCGCCTATACTTCCTGCCTGGCTACTGGCCAATCAATGTTTTATTAAACCAGTTTGAGTGACAAATCTTTACAATGTACAAGGGGATTATTCTACAGCAGATTTCCCAGCAATGGTGAGCTGGAGCTGATGGTTCCTTTTTAGGGACTTTCAAACTGGTTATTAAACACAGCTATTATTGATGGATGGTGGTGGCACACGCCTTTAATCCCAGCACTCGGGAGGCAGAGGCAGGCGGATGTATATGAGTTTGAGGCCAGTCTGGTCTACAGAGCGAGATCCAGGACAGGCACCAAAACTACACAGAGAAACCCTGTCTCGAAAAACAAACAAACAAACAAACAAACAAAAAAGTCTATTTAAAACAAAGGTAAAAGCTGGCGGTGGTGCAGGACTCTAATCCCATCACTTGGGAGGCAGAGGCAGGCAGATCTCTGTGAGTTCCAGGCCAGCCTGGGCTACAGAGTGAGTTCTACAGAGTGGTCTACAGTATGTACCACTATACCTGTTGTTTTTTATTTTGTTTTGCTTCTTGTTGTTGTTCTTTTTATGAATTATTTGTTTTTATTTAATTTTTTTAAAGGTTTACTTATTTATTTTATAGGTATGAGTGTTTTGTCTACATGTATGTCTGTGTACCAACACACGTCAGAAGAGGGCATCTCATCCCCTGGAACTGGAGTTACACGTGATTGTAAGCCAGTGATTATGGGTGCTGGGAACCAAACTTGGGTCCTCTAGAAGAGCAGCAGCAAGTATTCTCAACTGATGAGCCATCTCTCTAGTCCCATCACCTCCTTTTCTTTTCCTGTGCTGGTGACTGAACCCAGGGCTTTGTGGCTGCTAGGCAAGCAGTCTACCAACTGAGCCACATCCCCAGCCATTGGTTTTGAATTTAAAACAGTTTGATGATGTTGATTTATGTGGGGGTGGGTGTACACCACACCAGGTGTGTGGGTCAGAGGACAGCTCTTAGGAGTTCTGGGTCAAACTCAGGCCATCAGGTTTGACAGCCGAAGCCTTTAGCCACTGAATCACTGTTCATCTTTGTTTTGTTCTTGTGAGGCAGGGAGTATTATTTAGCCCACGCTGGTCTAGAACTCACCATCCTCTTGCCTCTGTTTCCCAGGAACTATGTGTGGAGCCCCTGCAGCTGGCTGACAGGACAGTTTTAGATGTCTTAGTTTCACAGGCAAGGGTCCCGTCTTTAAACACGTGGAGGTCAGAGGTGAGAGGGGGCTGGTAAGGAACAGCTGTTCTCCTCGTGCCTCATCCATACAGGCAGTGGCCCAAGCTTCTCTCTGGGAGTTAACTGTTCCGTCTGTCCCCACTGCGGTCACTCAAGTTTGACTCCTGTTCATGGCCACATCAGGCTCTTAATGACACTCTCCTGTCCCACCATCACACGGCCGCCATGTTGTAGACCAAGTGAATCTTACTGTATGAATTTATCTGGGCCGTGTTTCCTACGGCAGACCTTCTAAAGCTTCCCTCCCTGGGTGCTGAGGATCGTGGTCCTGTTAGACATGAGGCCAGTGGGTCTAGCTGACCTCCACTGCCCTTAGCCAAGGGAACCCACCCAGTTCCTCGGAGCCCAGCCTTGTGTCCTCCAAGCTTTAACCCTCTAGATGCCTGCCTGTGATGCCCTTCTTCTGCCCAAGAGCTGTCTTCCCCTCACCCTTCTTCCAACTGATCCCACCGCCCACTGTCTGTGGCCCATAATACTGGCTCCTGTCCTTAGCTGTGACATCACATCCCACATGGGGTTGACAGGCTCCTTTTTCCCCCCCATGTTTGATAGAAAGCTCTCATCCCAGGTCAATGTGTGGATCCATCTCAGTGAGGCTTGCTGACTTAATGTCCAAAGCCAGGCACAGTGGTTTGTGCCCGCAACTCCATCATTAGGGAGGTAGGGCAAGAGGATTGCCATGAGTGAGGCCAGCCTGGCCTACATAAAAGACCGGATAGCTCAGTGGTTAAGATCACTAGTTGCGGCCGGGCGGTGGTGGCGCACGCCTTTAATCCCAGCACTCGGGAGGCAGAGCCAGGCGGATCTCTGTGAGTTCGAGGCCAGCCTGGGCTACCAAGTGAGTTCCAGGAAAAGGCGCAAAGCTACACAGAGAAACCCTGTCTCAAAAAACCAAAAAAAAAAAGATCACTAGTTGCTCTTCCAGAGGACCTTGCTTGGATTCCCAGCACCCACATGGTGGCTCACAGCCAATTTGTAACTACATTTCCAGGGGATCTGATGCCCTCTTCTGGCCTCTTTGGGTACCAGGCACACATGAGGTACATAGATACACGTGCATGCAAAACACCCATATGCATAAAATAAAACAATAAAAAAATGAAAACAAGCCAACAAAACAAAACCAAGGCCAGGCAGGGTGGCACACGCCTTTAATCCCAGCACTCAAGAGTCAGAGACAGGTGGATCTCTGTGAGTCCGAGGCCAGCTTGGTCTACATATCAAGAGTTATATGGTGAGACCCTGCCTCAAAAAAACAAACAAACAAAAAAAAAAAAAACAACCAAAAGGAGGCCAGTGAAATGGGTCAGCAGTTCAGAGCACTTGCTGCTCTTGCAGAGGAGCCAGATTTGATCCCAGCATCCACATGGCAGCTCAAAACTATCTGTAACTCCGGCTTCCAGGGATCTGACACCATCTTCCAGCCTCAGTGCCAGGCTAGATAGATATGTAGGCAAAACACTCATTACACATAAAAACAAAACAAACAAGTCCACCAAAACCCAAACCAAGATGCCTTCACTGCTCCCATAGACCACTGATCAAGGCAGAGCAACAGGGTGGTTCCCAGCACCTTCTCGGCAGGCCCCAAGCATCATGACCAGTGCTGAATGCTTATCAGTCCCTGATTAAGTACCAGGTACACATTCAAAAGAGCTACCGATACCATTCTCTGCATTTGTGCGTGCGTGCGTGCATGCGTGCGTGCGTGTGTGTGTGTGTGTGTGTGTGTGTGTTTCAAGACAGGGTTTCTCTGTGTAGCCCTGGCTGTTGTAGAACTCGCTCTGTAGACCAGGCTGGCCTCAGACTCAGAGATCCGCCTGCCTCTGCCTCCCAAGTGTTGGGATTCAAGGCGTGCGCCACCACCGCCCGGCTCCATTCTCTGCATTTTATAGGCGAAGAAACTGAGACTCAGGGGTGAGATCCTGCCCAAATGATCCACCTTGTAGCACAGAATGATGGAAACTGTATAGACTGGGAACCAGCTCCTTGCTGGGGGGTAGTGGTTGAGTCCTCACCTGCACCCCTCGGTCCTGCAAATGTTGGATCAGGCTTTTCCTCATGATGAACCTGGGAGGAAGGATGGGGATGGCAAGGGTGACGATACAGTGATGAGAGGGACAAAGGAGAAGGGTGGTGGCAGGTCCCGTGTGCCCCCCCCCCAGCAGCCCCGCCCACCTCACCATTTTGTAACTGTAGCTGATAGTCGATTCATCCATCCACAGGAAAATGGGAAGTAAGTCCTGTGGAGAAGCAGCGGCGGGGTCAGCTCCTTGGTGTGACCCCTCGATGTCATCCCTCACTCCTCCCCCGACTCCCATCCCTCCACCCCCTCCCTGTCACAGGGGTGGAGTGGTAAGGACTCTTTGACCAATGTAACCCTGGCCTGGCCTGAAGAAACTTTGAAGCTGCCTACAGTGAGAGCCTCTGTGTCCTGGAGTCGTTGGTTTAAGAGCTTGTCTCTTTCCTGTCTTTTGTTTTTTTTGGGGGGGGGGTTTCAAGACAGGGTTTCTCTATGTAGCTTTGGTGGCTGTCCTGGATCTCACTCTGTAGCCCAGGCTGGCCTCCCGAGGGCTGGGATTAAAGGTGTGCACCCCGGCTCCCTTTCCTATCTTAAGGACAGGGAACTGAGTCTTACTGGGTTGTGCTGGAGATCTAAAGCACATCAGCGATGGCCCTGGGACCAGCTTGGTTCCAGAACTGGACGTCACAGGGGTCCTCCTGGTTGAGTCTGGGTGGATTTTTAAAGACCAGCTGGTCTGGAACTTGCAACCCTCTGGCCTTGGCCTCATGAGTGCTGGGGTTACAGGTGTGTGACGCAGTGCTCAAATTTGGAAGGGTCTTCAGATGAGACACTGCTCAATAGGCTGGCTACTTGTCACAACCTACCTCACTTCCGGGATGATTTTAGAGCAGTGTCCTAGGTCAGACTCTGGAGTTTGCCTGGGCTCCATATTTCCAGCTGTGTGACCTTGGGCAAGTCACAGACACTCTCTGCATATCTGATACTAATGTGTGTGGGGGGTCATGACTTTACCCTTCCGGGAGGGGGCACTATAAGGTAATGGTCAAATACCCCCCCCCCCCCCCCCCCCCCCCCCCCCCCGTCTGTGAAAACCTTTAACCCTGTGTAAAACACGGCAAACACAACGCTTTGGAAAGGGGCTGTGGGGCTAGCTAGCTTCCCTGAGAACCACATAGCTGAACCAGAGCTTTGGGGACAGTCCTGGAGAAGTTGTCAGAAAGGCAAGGGAGGAGGCAGGCCCCAGTAAGGAAGTACCTAGTCTCTAATACTTCCTCCTATGGTCACTTTGTTAACAGCGCTGCTGTAGGGTGGACCGACCCAACCTTTTGAGAATGAGAAAGCCATGCTGTCAGCCCAGAGGGCCTGACCCAGGCTCGTCAGTTGTATTTCCTAGACTGACCTACCCACATTATTACACACTACTACAACTCCACTGACCAGAGGTTTTCCGTCAAGGTACTGAATGAATTCCTCCTAAAACTGCAGACTGATAACGTATTTGCCTGCAAGTCAGGGCGTCACAGACCCCTTAGTGTTCATGAGTGCCAGGCAAGAACTACAGTGGTGCAGCACTAGTAAGGCTGAAGCAGGAGGATTGAGAACTGGACTGTAGTGAGACCTTCGTTTCAAAAAAAAACAAAAAAATCAAGATCAGGCCTTCTGGATGGCTTAGTGCAGTGGCTCTCAGCCTTCCTAATGCTGAGACCCTTTAATACAGTTCCTCATGTTGTGGGGACCCCCAACCATAACATTATTTGCATTGCTACTTCCTAACTGTGATTTTGCTACTGTTATGAATCATAATGTAAATAGCTGTTTTCTGATGGTCTTAGGCTATCCCTGTGAAAGGGTCCTTCGATCCCCCAAAGAGGTCTCGACCCACAGGTTGAGAAACATTTGCTTAGTGACTAAAGGCTCTTGCCATGAAAGCCTAGGTAACCTGAGTCTAATCTCTGGAACCTATATAAACGCAGAAAGAGGGTTGTCTCTGGCCTCCAAATCCATACCATGGCGCGCGCACACACACACACACACACACACACCTATAACAAATTAAAAACAAACCAGGATGTGACCTGGCTGGTAGACTGTTCCCCGGCATACACCGTGTCCCGCGCTGACTAGAACCAGGCAGGTGTGGTGGTCTATGCCTATAATTGCAGCACTAGTGAAGTGGAGGCAGGAGGATTAAAAATTCAATGTCTTTCCTCAGCTGCTTAGTTCCAGGCCAGCTTAAGATACATGAAATGCTGTTTCAAGAAAACCAAACTAAACCAAATCTATAAAGGGCCATGGGGTTGGAGAGCTGGCTCAGCGGTTAAGAGTGCTTGCTATTCGTTCAGAGGACCTGAATTTGGTTCTAACTACTCATGTTGGGTTGTTCACAACCACCTGTAACTCCAGTTCTGGGGGATCCGACCCTTTTTTGGCCTCTATCCCTGCACACATGAGGTAGGCACATACACACACTCACAGTAAAAAAAAAAATATTTAAAGAATCTTGTTGACTCTGAGGGAACTAGGGAACTGGGGATCCTGGGCAACGTGGCCTGAGCTGGGTGTTTCCAAGCCTTATCTCATCACTGGTACCTGTTGATGATGGTGGGCAGGAAGCAGAAGAAAAACTTCTCAGGGATGGAGACAAAAGGTAGCAGCCCCAGGTAGTAGAGCAGCAGTATCCAGATTGATCTCAATATGGTGAAGGCCATCGGCATGTCAGGGTTCTGGGTGGCGAGGGGAGAAGTGAGAAGCAGACCCATCGTGCCTGGGACAGCAGAGAGTTGGTATGGGCCCAAGGGGCCAGGGCTGGACATCAAAGTCACACTTGAACAGTGTAATGGTTAATTCTGTCGACTTGAGTAAGAAGTGGTACCCGCCAGGTGGTGGTGGCGCACGCCTTTAATCGCAGGACTCGGGAGGCAGAGCCAGGCGGATCTCTGTGAGTTCGAGGCTAGCCTGGTCTACAGAGTGAGTTCCAAGACAGGCTCCAAAGCTACACAGAGAAACTCTATCTCAAAAAAACCAAAAAAAAAAAAAGTAGTAACTTGGAGTTTGGTGAAACACACCTGTGGGCATGTCTGAGGATGTTTCCACAGAATTAGCTAAGGGAGTGAAGAAACCCACCCTGAGTGTGGGCAGCACCATCTCTGTAGGCTAGGAGTCTGGATAAAACAAAAGGGGGGAAAGGAAGAGGCCAGCCCAGGCATCGTCTTCACCCTCCAGCGCCACTGCTGAGTGGCTCTGGTTCTCATGCTCTCTACCTCTAGCAATTGGGCCAAAGTGGCTCTGGGTCAAAATCTCTGAAACCAGGAGAACCTGAAGGTCTGTTACAGTAACAAACAACCGACCGACACAGCCAGTACTGGGGGTTCCCTAGAGCTGACCTCATGGCGACATCACGGCAGTGCACATAGCCACACGCATGGTCGGTCCTACTGCTCCAAATCCCACTCTTGGGGACTGTGCTCAAAGCTAGTTCCTGGGGCCCTTCTGGGCCCTCCAGCATGGACTCCCTGGGCTGGGGTGGCTTCTGGCCCCATAGCAGAGAAAGAGGGACTCACGGCAGCCTTGCACTTCTTCATGACTGAGTTCTTCTCTGAAGCCCAGATGGTAATATCGCTGCGGTCAAAGCTCCTAGCCAGGTTGGCTACCTAGGACGGGAACGAGGGGAGTAAGGGAAGCCAGGCCTCCTCTCTTGGGCCTGCCCTCACCTGCCTGGCTTCAGTACCACCTTGTGAATGAGCTCTTCATTTTTTTCTTTGATCTCCACACTCATGGGCAACCTTGGAAATTTCTGGAATACATCCTCCAGTCGTATCATGTGTCGATCTGACCCGTGGGCAAAATGGCCTGGGAGTCAGGTCACAAAAACTGGGGTCAGAGTGGGATAGCTGAGCTAGAGCCGGGGGAGTAGGGAGAGTATGTGAGAAGATGGCTAAGCAGTGTAAGCCTGGCTGAACACATCCTACCTGGTGAGAAATAGATCTCCAGTTCTTTCTTGTAGAGGGGCAGTTCCTGTGGAGAGCAAATGTCATCAGAACACACATGTGCAAGTATGTCAACCTCAGTATGAGAGGCTGCAAAGCTCACCTCAAAGTCCAGGCTGTTCACATCCTTATTTAGGCCTGACTGGCGGGACAGGTTCTTGTCGTGCGATACTACCACCACTCCATCCCGTGTGAGCTGGCAGTCAAGTTCCAAGAGATCTGCTCGCTGGGCCATGGAACTAGGGTGCAAAGGTCGGTGGGGGAAGAGGACCAGGGAAGGACCGGGGCATGTAGTGGAGGGGAGATCCTGGGACAGAATTTATGGTGGGACATGTGACCCCACCTGCATAATTCCAGGGGCTTCCAGACACCCAAATTAGGAAGTAAATAGCACCCTTGGCTGCCCTGCAGAGCTCACCCCACAACCTTACACGTCGGACTTACTTCTCTATGGCCTCCATAGTATTCTCCAGCCGCTCTCCAGACCCTGTGTGAGGCAGTTTGGGTGGGTCCCTGGGGCCTGGCCTGACCTTTCTGCCTCCCTCTCTTCCTGACGGCTTCCGCTTGCTTCAGGTTTTCTCTCCTCCCATCAGCCAGGTTGAGCTGGCCTCGTCTTCTCTATCGCGTGCCCTCCGGGCCCCCGGGACTCTCCTTACCTCTGTCTGTACCATTCCCTCACACCTTGGACCTCCACTCTGTGCTGCCCACTGTGGCGCCTGTCTTCTTAGGCTCACTCCACCCAAGTGGCTGCCAACCCCTCCCGCCTCCCTGACCCGGCTCACCTCCGCGGTGGGCAGCCAGGCGGATGGGGAAGGCCGGAGCCCTGGTTGCGTGCAGCAGGTGAGGTCGGCGCAGGAAGAAGATGGAGAGCGCGACATAGCTGCCCAGGGTGGGCAGGAGGAGATACAGGATGGGGACCATAGCCTCACCCCTCAGCAGGTGTCTGCCACAGTGCAGCCTCCCAGTCCCGTGGGGCTCTGCTGCCTGCTGCTGCCGCCGCGGAGCCTGCCTGCCGAGCCAGTGTAGGCTGGCTCCACTGCTGGGCAGTGCCACGCCCCGGGACCTGCTGGGCCTGCTGCTGTGCTCCTGGCACTTGGCCAGACTGCAGAGCTGGAGCAGGCGCAGGAACTCAGGCAGGCAGCCCTGGGCTTCATGTCCACAGACTTTTCACAGATCCCAACACCCCCTTCTGTTCTTGACTGTGTGGGTGGGTGGGGGGTCACCATTTTTTAGACCTTTCTGTCTCCCATGGGTGCTTGTGGCCAGGATCTGTAGCTGCCTTTGCCACTTCCCAGGAATTTGGGGATGTAGGGTGCCCCTGAGTCACAACAAATCACCCCAGCTGGTTAAACAGGAAGCTGTCGGGGAAGACAGTGACTGAAGGGAAACCGACCCCTTTCCAGGAGACTGGGATTCCTTATACCCCATCCTCATCCCTGGCCAGCTGGAGCCAAAGACTACAGGGCTGTGGAGGGCCACAGCTGGAGGCAGGGGTCAGTCGTGAGAACAGCATGCTGGGGGTCTCGTCGGCACACACAGACAGAGGCAGGGTTATCCATATACACATCTCTATATTTATATATTAGATACAGGCACAGGGAGGTGGGGAGGGGCGCCAGCTTTCTATGGGCCCCACCTCCACTTCCAATAACCCACACACAGAAGCAGCAAGGGTGTTACATGTGGCAGCTTTGAGAGGGAGAGGGTTTGGCCTGGCCTGGCTCCTCAGGGAAACTAGCCCTTGAGACTTAGGAATGTTCCTTCGGGGAAAATAGGGTGGGGTTCCAACCAGATGAGTAGGCAGAGCTTAGCCTGAGTCCCTACTCAGTGCCCTCCACTCCTCCGTAGCATAGGTCCTAGGGCAGCATAGCCCTTCCATTCCAGAATGGTCTGCCAGAGCCAGGGCTAGCAGGGGGAGATAAAGGCAGAGCAGCAGAGATCAGCTCTGGGGCCACCTCACCACTCAGGCCCCGGGGAGGTGGGGCAGGGGGTTGGGGTGAGAGGAGCCTGCCTGAAGCAGGAGACCCCAGCAAAGTGAAAGAAGGTGGTGAGGCCCACCCTTGGTCCAGCCTGGGCTGCCGGGGTCCGGGTTGAGCAAAGTTCGTTTTCTAACAATCTGCAGAGAAGGAGCAGGTAGGAGCAGGACCTGAAGGAAGAAAGAGAGAACTGTCAGCTGGGAAGATCCCACAGAGCCCTGACACCAGTGCCTTTGGTCTGCCTGTGGGTCTTGGCTTCCTTCTCTGCAGCCAATAACAGCAGCCACCACCACACGCTACTGGGATGGCAGGCTCCTCTCCAAGTCGGCAGGGTATCCTCTGCCCCTAAGGCCTGGGGTGGCTCCTCACAGGGGGAGGATCCCTCACCTTTGTGGGTCTCCAGTGGAGGCTGGTGGCAGGAGATGGGCGGGGCTAGAGGATAAGTGATCTACGAAGGACCGGATGGGCCACACATGACTAGCAGGCCCTGGCCCTTCTGTTGCTACATGTGTGGATAATGAGGTACCCGGGCTGGGCAGCCTCTGACCAGGGTGTGGCTGCGCAAGGGCAATGTGAGCCACTCACCAGGTCCCAGGGGACAGGGATGCCTGTTCTTGTTAGGGGGCCTCTGGTGCCCCTGGCTGGAAGCGGGCTGTCTCTTGGAAGATCAGTTCCTTCAGCCGCTCCTTAGGGAGATCATCCAGCTCCATGTCAAAGGTGAAGGGTTCCTCAGCCACTGGCTAGGGGGCAAAGACAGTAAGGCACAGGCCAGGCGCTGGGGGTACCGATCCCCCTCCTGGCACTGGTGGCCAGCCCACCTCATCTGTCGGGTCATAGTACTGTTCCAGGTACGGGTGAGCCAGCGCTTCCTCCACCGTGATGCGCTTGTTGGGGTTGAAGGTTAACATCCGGTCCAGCAGGTCAAGTGCTAAGGCAAGACGGGCAGCGGTCAAGAGAAGGCTGAAGGACTCCCATAGGTATCACCCGTCCAGTGCCCAGGGGCCCATTTACTGAGGCCGGCACTCGGGTCACACACCCTTCTTCGCCCCCAGTCCTTGTCTCACTCACCTTTGGAGTCGGATTTGGGGAAAAGCTTGGCCCACGCCACCTTAGTTTTGGAGGGCAGAGACTGCAGATAGTTTCGGGCCTTCATGTTGATGATACAGTTAAGGTCCTCCTGGGATGGGGAGCCCAAGATACCTGTGGACGAGCCAGTCATCTTGTTGAGATGCCAAGTTTTCTTTCTGGGAACAGGTTAGGAAGCAAGAACGGAACCCAGGCCTAGCCACCTGCAGCCACCTCCTCATCTACCCACTGGGGCAGTGATAGGAGCAAAGAGCTGAGGACCAGGGAGTCCTGGGTTCAAATCCTGACTGCAGTCTTCCTTAGGTGTAGGGTTTAGTCTTGCTTTTGAAAGAACACCTTACAGAAATGCCATGAGATGCTGGGAAGGCTCCACATGTGGTACCCCAATTCTCACCCTCCAGAAATGTCACCTCTGATAAGCTAACTCTCATCCCTTTGAGCCAGTCAGGCCCTCTCACCTAGAATGTGGTTGAGCTGGTCCAGGTAGTGCTTGCCAGGGAAGATGGGCCGGTTGGAGAGCATCTCAGCCAGAATGCAGCCCACAGACCAGATGTCGATGGATTTGGTGTAGCCCTGGGGAGGAGAATGTGCTGAACTCCCTGATCAGCCTTATCAGTGCCCTTCCTGGTATTTGGGCCAAGCATCACATCCAACTTAGATCCAACACCAAGCAAAGGGCAGAGAACAGAGGCTAGGGAAACTGATCTCTATATCTTGCCACAGCCCAAGGGCCAGAGGGATTATGCCAAGGCCTAGAGATAGCTCTAGGACTTCCTTGCAGAAGTGGGCCGCTTGCGTACCTTGGAGTTAAGCATGATCTCTGGGGCTCGGTACCAGCGTGTGGCCACATACTCTGTCAGAAAGCCAGTGTGGTCATGCTCAGGGTCAGCAATCCGGGCCAGGCCAAAGTCACATATCTGCAATCAGACCCAGGTCACTGAGTTAGGTGCCTAAGGCCTCCTCAGTCCACGAAGTGCCCCTGCCCTGCCTAAGCTGTTCTTGTTTGCCATGCAACAAGGATGCTTCTCCCAGTCCTGCCCCAGGTCCAGGGAAGGGGCAGCAGGCACGCAGCCTCTGACCTTAAGGTCGCAGGTGGTGTTGATGAGCAGGTTGGAGGGCTTCAGATCCCGGTGGAGCACATTGGCTGAGTGTATGTACTTGAGGCCCCGAAGGATCTGGTAGAGGAAGTAGCAGATGTGGTCGTTGCTCAGCTGCTGACTCTTAAGCAGCTTGTACAGGTCTGTCTCCATGAGGTCCTGAACAATGTAACTGAGGATGATTCCAGAGACCCCCAGGTTTGGGGGAGTAGGAGACACTTTGTTAAGGCAAACAGGTTCTGAGCAGTAGGTCACATATTCCTTTCAGCTAGGGCCCCTTGGCCTCATGAGCTTCACTAAGTCTGGAGCTGATGATGTGCAGGGCACATCTATTCTGGGCCCTCAGTTTCCCTCCTGGGCAAATGAGGGTACTGAGAAATTGTAGTGGGAGAACTCCAGAAGAAGAGCAGTTCTAAATTAACCCACTCATGTCTGACGTCCCCATGCTACCTCAACAGCTCTATGTTCTTAACCTGTTCATGCCTCAGTTTCCTGACCTGACAAGCAGGGGGAGTAACTGTTCTAAAGAGGGTGGCTGTGAGAATAACATGCTCCATGGAGAATGCTCAGCAAACAAGAAAGGCTGTTGTTACTCTATGGGCAGAACCATGTGGCCGTTGAGTGGGTTAAATGAGATAATGCATGAACACCATCTGGCACACAGTAACTGTTTGCTTAAAAATAAATGCCTGCCTTATGGGAATGATTGGAGCCAGAAAAGTGAGGAGACACTCCTAACAGCATGCTCCTCCAGAGTGCTTGACCACACACCAGAAGGTGGAGAATGAAAAGTCCTTTTATACTTGAAGATTAAACATAAATAGCTGGGTGGTGGTGGTGGTATACCACCTGGCAGAGGCAGGTAGATCTCTGTGAGTTCGAGGCCAGCCTGGGCTACAGAGTGAGCTCCAGAACAGCCAGGGCTACATAGAGAAATCCTGTCTTGAAAAACCAAAAAAAAAAAAAAAAAACCAAATAAGCAAATAAAGCCCAAAGCATAACAAATAAACATAAATAAATATCATCTGGCTTGTCTATGGAAGAGGAGCCAGGAGCTCAGTGCCAAACCTCACTCTTGTAACTCAGCACTTGAGAGGCAGGGGCCAGAGTATTGTTCCCTAGACATTTAAGGCCAGTCTGGTCTACAACGTCAGCTGGGCCTGGTGGTACTTGGGAGGCAAAGGCAGTTGGATCTCTTGAGTTCAAGGCTAGCCTGGTCTACATGCTGAGTTTCAGGCTAGCCAGGGCTACACAGTGAGCCCCTTTCTCAAAAGAAGGGAGAAGAAGCACATGTAGACATGCGCACGTGGACCAACCCTGCTGCTATTTTGTTTTTTTTTTTTTTTTTTTTTTTTTTTTTTTTTTTTGTTTTTCGAGACAGGGTTTCTCTGTGTAGCTTTGCGCCTTTCCTGGGACTCACTTGGTAGTCCAGGCTGGCCTCGAACTCACAGAGATCCTCCTGGCTCTGCCTCCCGAGTGCTGGGATTAAAGGCGTGCGCCACCACCGCCCGGCTAAAGATTTATTTATTTATTATGTATACAGCATATATGACTGCAGACCAGAAGAGGGCACCAGATCTCATTACAGATGGTTGTGAGCCACCATGTGGTTGCTGGGAATTGAACTCAGGACCTCTGGAAGAGCAGTCAGTGCTCTTAACCTCTGAGCCATCTCTCCAGCCCCCCTGCTGCTATTTTATAAGTGCGGAAGTCTAGAGATGGGGTGACCTGCTTCAGGTCACACAGCAAACCGGAGTATGGAGATGTCATGTGATTAGAGATGCAGATGCTGTCCAATGAATCCTGGGGTTGGGAGAGGTGGGTAGGGAAGAGGCCATGGGTGTTACTGACTGCTAACAGCAGAGCCAAGCAGGAAGTAGATGTGGACAATGAACTAGATATTTGAACTAGGCAAGCAGTATCGAGCAAGGGCAACAAAGGCTGGACTGCCTTCCCTGGGCAAGGTGCAAGTCCACAGGTACCTAGGGCGGGGCTCTCAGAAAAGTAGGAAGGCTCTAAGAAATACAACTAGGGTCAGAGAGGAAGCAGCAAACAGAAACAGACCCCCAGACCCCTAAGCCTCTCTTGGGCCCTTGGCTAGGCCAGGGACAGGAGGGCAAAGGCTTGGCTCCACCCTGTGACTCTAGAGTCCCCCCAGATGCCCCTCCCTTAACAATACAAGGTGGTTTCAAAGCCTACACACACACACACACACCTTGGAGAAAGCAGCACCCTGTCCCTCAGAAGACACTGCAAAACCCCACACAAGGGTCTCA